TACTTTTAGACGCGATCGGCGAGCACTCGCGCTCATTCGTGGTCACTCGTGTGTTCTATCAGCCGCGTTCGGCGGCACACGAGCAAGAGCGAAAACTTATCCCACTTGTCATGCGAGGTAATCTTCGCACGCTTTCGCGTGCTTGCTCTCCTACTGGACTAAACCTGAGAAATACAAGGAACTACTGTCTTAAGATCTCTTAAGGGATTATTTGTCATTTTTTCGAAAATGTAAAACTGTTCTGAAAAACTAGTTCTAGACCCAAGTCCGAAAATATCAGCAAGACACTCTGAGCACCTAAAGCGTCTTGTTGTTTATTGTACGATTCGAAAATGCATGGATAGGACTTCGTTGTGAGAATTATCAGTCTCTTACATGTAAAATTTGCTCTTTTACAAGGAAAACAATTATAACTAACTACATCTTTAATTTCCTGTTCACCTTTTGCTAATGAGGTTCAACAAGCCCGCATACCGTATCCTTCCTGGGGGACTGAACAGCTATCGTCATTGAGAAAGGACGAGAAATAACTATTCCTTATAAGTTTTTTTTTNAAACTTATCCCACTTGTCATGCGAGGTAATTTTCGCACGCTTTCGCGTGCTTGCTCTCCTACTGGACTAAACCTGAGAAATACAAGGAACTACTGTCTTAAGATCTCTTAAGGGATTATTCGTCATTTTTTCAAAAATGTAAAACTGTTCTGAAAAACTAGTCTAGACCCAAGTGCGAAAATATCAGCAAGACACTCTGACCACCTAAAGCCTCTTGTTTATTGTACGATTCGAAAACGCATGAATAGGACTTCGTTGTGAGAATTATCAGTCTCTTACTTGTAAAATTTGCTCTTTTACAAGGAAAACAATTACAACTAACTACATCTTTAATTTCCTGTTCACCTTTTGCTAATGAGGTTCAAGAAGCCCGCATACCGTGTCCTTCCTGGGGGACTGAACAGCTACCTTCATTGAGACAGGACGAGAAATAACTATTCCTTATAAGTTATTTTCTTTTGTTGCGTTCGACGAAGTGGAACGCAAACCTAATTTTGACCTGTGGCTTTTCAGAGTTGGTCTCGCTGTGCA